GATAATAATATTATAATTATAACATTATAATTATATTTAATTATATTTATTATTATATTATTATTAATATAATAAACATAATTATATTAATATAATATCATATAATTAATAAGATCATATTATATAATAAAATAATAATATTAGAATTATTAATATAATCATAATATTATTTATTACAATATTACAATTATATTATATTATATTATATTATATCATATTATATTTTAATGCTATTATATGTTATATTATAAGATATAATTACGTGATAATATATAATATATTAAAATGTAACTATATTATAAATTAAATTAAATTATATCATATTATTTATTATTTTATTATTATATTATTATAACTATATTATATTATTATTATATTATTATTACATATTATATTATATTACATATTATAAGATATAACAGCTATATAATATATTGTAATTATAAGGGTAATTATGAAAAAAAAAACAAAGAAAAGAGATTGGAATGATTATTCTTAATGAATGATGCTTCATTCCTTTTGAATGTTCTTTTTTTTTTTTTTATAAATTCAACCAAATATTAAATTTGAATTTCATTTTATTATATTCCTTTCGTTTCCACCCAACTAAATGCACCCTCAGTTTTTTCTTTTTGGCTAAAAAATATTTACGTAAACTTGAAAGAAATATTTAGAGTAGATATTTGGCATTAAGAAGAATTAGGCAGTAATTCTGTGTGGCTGATATGAAGAAGGTAAATTTTGCTAGAACCTATTACAAGTTCTTATGGTTGCTTCAAACGGTTTAAGTGCTACAAAGATGACATTCAAATCTGATCATCAATCTCGTTATGCAATGGGAATGCTACCAAGAAAATTGCAAAACTCATGCATAGTGTGTATATATATGTCATGGATAGTATATAGAATTATAGATGAACAACTAATTGTAGAGATATGATTCGCTAAAGGGAAAAAATGGGAAAGAAAAATGGAATTTTGTATATATATATATATATATTAGCGGGTTGATAACATATACTATGTGATCACCGTTAAAAAAAGTATTAAGTACAATCATCGATCAGTGATTAAGAAATGACTGGTAATTAGAGCACCAATTCAATCAATGATTGACAAGTGAATAATTGATTCACATTGATAAATCAATCAGCTAATCAGACAATCACTGTTTGGTTTCTTAAAAAAAAAGAAAAAAAAAGAACAAAACCACTTTTTGAATTGAACAAAACTCAGTACGTTTATTGTAAACAATATATACTATAAAAAGAACATTTTCCCACATATCCCATTTTCTTTTTTGGCTCTACCACTGCTTTTGTAGATTTATATCTATGATGGTACCAGATGCTTTTAACGACGAAAGTACTTAATTGCATAATCCGCTCTTTGCAGCTCAATAGATCTTACATATCATCGATAAATTTTGATGTGCTGAGTTAATTAAACAAAGATTTGCAATAAATTGTTTTTAAACCAGGATCTTAAGTACTTTCTTCTACATTCTATCGCTTTATATGTTGCTGTGTTTGACCAGCACTTTAGAATAGTACAAAGAAACTAAGCCTCGTTTATTTCACCGATTCGAGTTTAAAATTCGAGTTTTTCTACAGTAAAAAAATCTCAGAAACAGTCACATCTAACTTTTTTATTACAATAAAAGGCTCTCATAAAAAATCACATCTCAACTCGAATTAAAAACTCGAATCAACGAACTAAACAGACCATAAATCAAACACATATTGTATTCTCAACCGCTCAAGTATATAATTTACACATATTGGATTAGGTGAAATAAAATATCTACACCCATCAGATTGCCACGCGGAGGAAAATGACAACATCATCATGTTTAAGATACTAAATCTCCTTGCTTAAAAAACACATTGCGATTTTTTTTTCTATATTAAGAAATAAGAACATTGTTTAACGAATCGACCAAATGTGTATTAGGAACATTGTTTAACAAATTAACAAAGGATTTACTTTCGTTCCAACCAAAGAAATCATATTGGCCTCTCTCTTTGGACTCACGTCTTCTTGGCCACCTTCTTCAACACCTTTATGCAATCACCAAATTCACTTTCACAAGGCAATCGTTTAATTCATTTTCCTTTCTCTCCTTTTCCCCTTAACATTTCCAACCAAAATGGTAAAGTCATCTCTCTCTCTCTCTCTCTCTCTCTCTGCTACACATTTTCACAAGGGTGCTTTGAATTGCAGGCAACAAGCGGGAAAGGGAAGGTGGTGATAGTGACAAGGCACGTAGAGAGGCCGAGGAGAATAGTGGCGACCCATCACCACCACCACCACCATAACCATGTTCACTACACCGTGAAGAGAGAGGTAATTCATTACAGGCGTGGTGCTGATGGTAAAAGATTCATTAATAGGAGGGCCGAGCTGCTTCAATACTCTCAACATCTTCGCGAATCCGCAAGACCACCAGCCCTCGCACCCTCACTTCCATTGCCAAATTCTTCTAACAACAACCAGCCTCCTGAAACCAAAGTACCACCCTCAATTCTTTTCTTATACATTTATAGTACCAAGGAAAAACCAAGTTTGGAGTCGGTTTTAGGCTTTGTTATTTGATACAAACCTTGTATTTATTGTTGTTTAAACTTGTTAATTTGTTTGATTTGTTTAGATGGATGTTAGTTGTCTCATGTAATGTAACACAGTTGCAGTTTCTTCTTTTTTTTTTTTGGAGGTTGTCAACGTTCGGCGAAACTCGAAAAACAGTACTAGAACCCCAACTTGCCTTGGAAACTTTTTCAAACTTTTGAGTCTTCAAGCAAGGAAAGACAGAAACAAGAAGACGAAGAGTTTGACCACAGGCAGTAGGATAAAAGCTCTTACGAAAAGCTTACAGGTAAACAGGAGAGAAAATTTCATGAAATGCAAATCTTGCTTCTATTATTTTTCTTTGATGGCAAATCCCAACTTCATAGTCCAATCTAAATCGAAATTCTTTCAGGTTCAGAAGCGGCATGGTTTTCTCTCCAAACTGTTCTTAACTTCAAGAAAGAAGAGGTGAAGTGTTGCTGTTGTTGGTCTGTTGTTTTTTATATATTTTTTTTTCAAGGAGGTTGGGAACCTTGGCTGCTAATCTCAATTTTAGAATAAGAACAAGATCAAGACCGAAGCAGAAGCAAATAACAAATAAACACAAGACTGAAAATCAAACACAATTTGTTTTCATTCACGTTCTCCCTCTTTTCCCCTGAGAAGACCATGGTGTGTATTTAAATAAGAATTATGTTGCACTTGCGAGTTGCACCTTACGTTTTAAAAATAGGAAATTATTATTATTCAAAGATTCTATTATAATTTTTAGGGAGCGTCAGAAATTCAATTTTTTTTTTTAACTTTGTTTATACGTGTAGGGCTTATGGCTCCCACTTTACTAATAAGAAATTACACCATTTAGATTTGAATTTTGATAGACATACGCACACGCTCACTTATCTAATCACTTGAGCTACCCCTAAGTGGCCAAAAAGACAACATATCATCACCAAGTATGATCCCAAAATATAGCATTAGGATTAATTTCAAAAATTCCTCCCGAACTATGACCCTTGTAACACTTAACCTCATGAATTTTAAAACGTAACATCTATTTCCCTCGAACTTTATTCCGTTAACAAGTTTCTTCCTTCCGTAACAATGAGTGACAGAAATCGCCACGTGTCACTTATTTAGTGAGAATTGAAAGCGCAATTACGCTTATACCTTTATAATTATATAATTTCTCATTTTTATTGACAAAATTCACCATCTTCGTTCCTAAAGTCAGCCTCTTTTTCATCATTATCATCATCATCTTCTACTCTACAGTGTGTTTCAGTTTAAGTTTCTCTTCCTCTCTCTCTGCAGTGTGTTTCAGTCCAAGTTTCCAAAGCGCGAGTCTTTGTCTCAGAGACCATTATTTTTTCCTTTTCTCTCTCTATCTTCTCTCTTTTGCTCTCTGCACTTTTTTGCACTCCAAAACCTTCATCTCTAACCTCTCCTCCGAACTAATCAGCTTATAGAGTTGAAAGGGTCACCTAACCCAATACCCATTTCTTATGGGGAGCAGATCGGCATCGATATGGGGGCGGAAGATGGTCAAAGGCTGCAGGAGGAGGCGGATCTACCTGGAGAAGATGCTATACTCGTCGATTTGGATTGATCCTCGCAATTCTGGCGTGACTGAGGTTGGATTCAGAGGTTCCGGTGTCATTAGACCGAGATGCGCAATCCTGGCATGAAAGGGCCGGATTCCCTCCGGACTTGGACTGAGTCATGTGATTCCGAGGAGATTGAAGCGGATCCCGGCTAAATTTGGATCGGCTTACGTGATTCCTGCTAGATTGGGACGAATTCCGGCGAAGTGAAGGGCGGGTGTTGGAACGCTCATCCTCAAGTTTGGGTCTTTCCATTTTTTCTAGGAAAAGGAAATTTCTGATTGCATAAACAAATTTCAAAAGCTAACAAAACATGGAAAGAAAGGAAATACATGAAGCAAGTTGCTTCTATGGATAGGTTTTCCGATTTGGTTTTCTTATATCCGGATTTGTTCTTAGTTATAGATCTGAATTTGTTCTTTTAATTGGTGTAATTTTTTTTTTTCTAATTAAGATGTGGGGTTGTTCATATAATGATATTCACGTGTTGGGTCAAGTTTACGATAATACCCTCCTCAGATGGGTTGAGTTTTATCCACGTGGCGATTTCTATCACTCATTGTAACGGAAGGATGAAACTTGTTAACGGAATAAAATTCGAGGGGAACGGATGTTACGTTTTAAAATTCGGAGAGCAAAATGTTACAAGGGTCATAGTTGGAATTTTTAAAATTAATCCTATAGCATTATATTAAATGCAGCATATTATGTTGCAAACTAATGTGACACAGCAAGAAATGCATGCCAATTTGGCAAATGCAAATAAATGATTAGTATAAAAGAACTTGCGAAAAAACTCCTATAAACTCATGTTAGTTTAAAACAAAATAGCTGATGATTACTTTACTAACATCAGCATTTTCCTGTTCTCCCTGGATCTACTCTTTTACGGAAAAAAAAAAAAAAAAAGCGATAATCACCAACTATTGGGACAAACAGTCTAAAGATTTTCATACTCTGCAACGCCACCGAGCATTTTGAGTTCAGTTTGTTCCTTGTTTAGAGCCGAAAGGTATTCGTCATGTTCCAAGACGAAGGGCTATCGACATCTCTGCTGTCGAGTGTACTCCCAAAGAGCAATGGCACCACTGACATGTACATTGAGAGATCTCACCACACCCAACTGTGGAATCTCAATGCAAGCATCCAGCATATGAATTATATCCACAGGAATACCCTCCTTTTCACGCCCAAGAACCATTACCTAGCAAAAAGATGAAAATTATTTTTGACAATTAACAAAACTTCATTAAAACTTAAATTATACAGTGAGCACTAGAATGAAAATACAAAACAAATATTTGCTTTATACTGATGTAGTAATTTGAAATAAGATGTACTGTTTCCTTCCCTGAAATACGGTAAACATATACTGGAGGAGAATCATAACCAAGTTAAGTTGTATGAGCAACTAACCGTCTTTTTCGGGAAGGCGTACTGATCGAGCGGTATACTATTTGCAGTTTGCTCCAATCCCAAAATAGAGTAGCCTTCTTTCTTCTTTTTCTCCAGGAAAATCTTCATGCTATCCACTGGAACCTCAATGATAGGAACCCACCTCTCTGCAGTCACGCTGAAAAACAAAACATTTACCGTAATATTGGACTGAAAGTGTCTGGAGCAAAAATTTAAAATAGAATGGATTAGAGATGACCCCTCCGAAAGGTTTTGCTCCTCAAGCACCACTCAACTTTTACTATCTAACAAATGCAAATTGCAAAATAACATTTTGAATTCTTAAACTAGATCTCAAGAAACCATATGAATCCTTCATGATGAATTAGAAGCATGTAGTGCAGTAAGTATAAAGAGAAGGTAGTAAGTTAATATCAAACCTGATGAGTTGGAACTGTTTATCATGTACAATGTTTGCATCAGCAACGGCCAAACCTAATGCCTTAAACACCTGGTATAAATAATGGAATGTACGGATAAGTTGAGAAGTAGTGCCAAAGGACAACACAAGAGAAGAGGAGGGCAAGAACAAACACATATATAAAGTAACTCCATGAACACACCTCACATGTCCGTGCCAATCCGGCAAGGTTAGGTATGCGATCGATCAGTGATGCCACCAGAATAAAATCTTGTCGACTCTTTCTAAATCTTTCCATAGTCACACTTCTAGAATGCAACAACTGATTAAGAAGTTGATCTTCCTTTTCAATTTCTGTTTTGTCAGACATATTAGATCATGTCACGGGAAGCACAAATTTATGAATATCGAAATATAACCCAAAAAAAAAAAGGAACAAACAAAAGAAAGAAAGATATCAAGCTCTATCCAAAAGGTGTACATAAAACAGATAGGATAGAGAATGCTACAGCGATAACATTTTAGCATAAATAATTTATACATACCCAAAAGTTGTTTGTAACTTTCTTTGTGGCTAAAGAGAGCATTAATTTCACCATCCTTTTTCTCATGTTTAGAAAGAGTAATCTTTTTCTGGAAATCCAACACCATATCCTTAAGCTGTGACGTGCGCGATTTTTCATCACCATCATCATTATGTGATATCTCTCTGCAGTTATGATCTTCACTACTTCTTAAACTCTCGTTTTTTATAGTCACCAAGCCCTTTGCCATTGAGCTTCTAAGGTCTTCCCTCACGTCCTGTGGAAACAAAATATAAGAGGCGAACCGTGCAGAAAAAAAAAAGAAAAAGATAGAGAAAAATAGCTAGAGCTTACATTTAAAAAGGTGAGCACGTCCTCCATAAGAGATTTTGGCACACATTCAAACTCCAGTTCCTTTAATATGACAAAATGCTAGATGAACTAAGTAATCAAAAATACAATTTACAGAACCGAGTCTGAACAAACCACTATGAATAGAAAATAAAGTAACGTGAACATAGTAAATGTGCTAAACTTAAACAAAAGTCTGACCTCAACACGATTGATGAAAATTCCAGCAGGCGTGACAGAGAGAGTGGGATTATAAGCATCTAGATATCCTTCCATTGACGCTCGTAAGCTGAAATAAGCGTAACAAAATCACATTTCAAAGATTTTTTGCAAATTGTATACACACCTATGAACATCAAATCATTACCACAGCTCTAGCTAGGACGACCAAACTAGCTGTGTTTCACCACCCTTCAGTTCATATATATATATATATATGTACATATATATATTCACACTTAAAACTAGACAATGGACCTGTGTTTTGCATTTATCACTTTAGTTAAGAGGGTAGCAATGAACATGATTGTTAGAGGTTCACCATTTCAGGTAAAACTCCCGGTTTAATATATAAATAGAATTTAACTTGTTCACTTGCCATTTGAAGGATTATGGATATATTGCTTCTTTTCAGAGTGTCTATACGAATAACCACGTTGCAGCACTAGATTTCAATTTCAAGAATAATAAAGATAAAAGCAAAAGGCAATAGAAATCAAAACTTCATACCGCATACAGTCAGAGTTTTTCGCCAGGTAAGTTTTCAAGTCCTCAAAGCACCTCTTTTCTAGAGGTATGGATGGAGCGGCTTTAAAATCTGATGGAGGAAATAGTTTGGAAAGAACTTGGTATACCAGTAACTGCAGAAGTTCAATAAACCAGATATTAGAAAACATTCCAGAATAGAAAAAAAAAAAATAATTAGAACAAAAATAAAGTAATAGACTTTTTAGTTCAATTGGTAAAACTAAAATATAGACTACAAAAATAAAAATAGAAATTAAAAACCTGAGTGAAACCACGTAAACTATGGTGATGTGAGGTTAATAATGGAACTATAGGAGGAAGTAACTCATCCAAATGCTCGGACTGAACAGCCTCAGATGCATGGAGAATCACATTAGCTGCTATAAATACGTAAGAAGAGAGCGCCTGCATTTTGATGTATGAATATTAATATAGCATTCATGCGTGACATAATCAAAATTTTTTTAATGACAAAATGTTGACACACCTATGTAAGCAGCGGCAAGAACCACGTGTTATTGCCACTCAGATTTTGAAATTTTGATTTCTACTCCTGAAGTTTCTCTAAAATTTCTGTTGTGTTCTCATTTTATAAGAAAAATTATAATTGTGTCCCCACTTAATAATTAAAAAAATATAACATGTTCCCATCCAATAAAAAAATTTATCAATTTTTCCACAGCGTCCTAACTGTTTATTATTATTATTATTATTATTATTATTATTATTTTTACTCCATCACTGCCGTAAGTAGACTACAATAATAGAAGATTGTTTTGGGCTGTAGTCTAAAATAATTAAATAAATTATGTGATTTTCCATACAAGACATATATCATCTATAAGTATTAGGGATACAATTTAAGCAAAGAGGTGGCATCAACCTTTGGCTCGTCAGCGAGCCTAGATACACTTGCATATGGCCACGTAAGCCTACCACTTTGGATGAGATGGTTACTAATAAACCTATGTTAGAATATCTTTCCACCGATGCTTGCCGACTTTGCAATTGTGATTAAGGTGACGTTTGTTTTAAGAATTTTGTTTGATTTAAGATCACAATTTTTGGTTCTGTTACAATATTTTTCTTTCACAAAAATTTAAATTTTAAAAATTAAAATCATAAACCATGGTTTTCAATCCATAAACTAAACGTCACCTAAGTTTACATCCCTATATATGGGATCTCTTGCCTTCAGTGGGAGGAGAAAGGAAAAACAAAAGAAGTGCAATCAGAAAAAGAAAACCAACCTCTGATTTAATCTTAAAAAATTCCTTTTTCAACTTCATTTTTGTTTCCCTATCATGCCCAAACTTCCTTTCTCGCACATATATTTATGCATATATGCATATAAACTTCTCTATAATATTTTCGGTGTGTTGATGCTACTTATCCTATCATATCTATTCTTGGTGTATTTCACATCATTACAATTATGAATTTTCATTTTATTATTTACTTGTCTATTTAATTCCTCGCACTTTATATTAGTGTGGAAATTTGAGAGAAAAAATTGAAGGAATTATATGTTACATGACAATTACAACCGGTTTATATACAGAAATCCTAGCCTATAGAAACGGCAATCACATCCCATAATATATGGGATATCACACTAAAACAAGAAACTAACTATTATATTCAAACTTTCCTAATTTAGTCTATACACGTGTAAAACACACACTCCTCCTCAAGCTGGTGAATAGGTATTCACCATTCTCAGCTTGGATACAAAACTCTCAAACACTGAACTACTTAACCCCTTGGTGAGTATATCAGCAAGTTGGCCATGTGTAGATACATAAGGTGTACAAATCAGTCCACTATCCAACTTTTCTTTGATGAAGTGTCTGTCAATCTCGATGTGCTTCGTTCGATCATGCTGCACCGGGTTGTGAGCTATGCTGATTGCAGATTTGTTATCACAATAAAGTTTCATAGGACTGTCCCACGTAATCTTCAAATCCTCTAAAACAATCTTCAACCATAGTAGTTCACACACACCCTGAGCCATTGCTCGGTACTCTGCCTCAGCACTAGACCGTGCTACCACATTCTGTTTCTTACTCCTCCATGTCACCAGGTTTCCACCAAAGAAGGTGCAATAACCTGAAGTTGATCTTCTGTCAACAACTGACCCAACATAGTCAGCATCTGTGTATGCCTCAAGAACTAACCCTCCATTCCTCTTGAAGAGGATGCCTCTACCTGGTGTCCCTTTGAGATATTGCAAAACTCTGTATGCCACCTGCAGTTGAACTTCCTTTGGATTGTGCATGAACTGACTGATCACACTCACCGCATACGCTATATCTGGCCGAGTGTGAGAAAGATAAATGAGTCTCCCCACCAACCGTTGATACATCTCTCTATCCACCATAGCATCTTCTTCTGCCTCTCCAAGCTTGAGATTCGGTTCTATTGGAGTACTCACTGGTTTGCATGCTGCCGGTTTCTTTGAGTAGATTTGTAACATACTTCTGTTGAGAGATGAAAATGCCTTGCTTAGAATGAGCCACCTCAATCCCAAGGAAATACTTCAATCTTCCTAACGTCTTGATCTCAAATTCCTTAGCTAAACATTGACTTAGAAGTTGTCTCTCCCTATCATCATCACCAGTCACAATTATGTCATCAACATACACCAATAGGGCTGTAACTTTACTTGAATGTGAGTGTTTAATGAACAAAGTGTGATCTCCTTGACTCTGCTTATATCCCATAGCTGTCATTACTCTAGCAAACCTCCCAAACCATGCTCGTGGTGATTGCTTAAGTCCATACAAGGACTTTTTTAGTCTACATATTGTACCAGCAGTCAACCCTTTATTATAACCCGGTGGAGCTTCCATATAAATTTCCTCCTCCAGTTCTCCATGCAAAAATGCATTCTTGACATCAAACTGCTGCAAATCCCAATCACCATTAGCTGCTAGTGACAATAAAACTCTAATAGTGTTCATCTTTGCAACCGGAGCAAACGTTTCTTGATAATCAATCCCATAGGTTTGAGTATAACCCTTGGTCACCAACCTAGCCTTGTATCTTTCTATTGATCCATCTGCTCTATATTTTACCATGTAAACCCATTTACACCCTACGGGTTTCTTTCCTTCGGGTAACTTCACTATTTCCCAAGTTGTGTTCTTCTCCAACGCCTCCATCTCCACATTCATGGCTTGCTTCCATTTTTCATTGGTTAAAGCCTCGGATAAATTGGCAGGGATGGCAATGGTGTTTAAGCTGACAAGGAAGGCTCTATGGAATGGTGAAAAGTGTTTAAAGGACAAGAAATGGGCAAGAGGGTATAGGGGTCGGTTTGTGCATTCTCTAACTCCTTTCTTGATAGCAATAGGGAGGTCTTGGTCATCATTGTTTATCTCAGATTCAGATTGAAAAGAACGATTAGAAATTGTTACCTCATTCCCAGGATTTAGGTTGGAGTCTTGGACTTGCACAGATTCAGGGACAACCTTCTTCTTTCTTGAGAACACTTTGCCTTTGCCAAATCTCACACTATCAAGGGCCGGATTTGTAGGTGATTTTACAAAAGGCTCGGGATTTGGATTTTCAGTGGGATCGGTGGGAGGAACATTTTCAGTAGGCTCGGTAGAAACATCCATGGGATTAGGCTGTCTTGACACAGGAAGTGGTGAAGATGGCAGATCAAGAAGCAAAAAATCTGCCTTATCCTTATCTTCCATTACTGAATTCTCCCCCTGAAGATAAGGAACAATGAAATAGGATTCTTGTTCATGGAAGGTCACATCAGCTGAGACATAGAACCTTTTTGATGGGGAATGATAGCACTTATACCCCTTTTGAGTTGAAGAATATCCCACAACCACACATTTTAATGCCCTTGGATCTAATTTTCCCCGGTTCTGACTATGAACATGAACAAATGCCACACACCCAAATATGCGAGTAACAAGATTATTTGTGGTGTGTAGGTTTGGATAGAACTTGGAAAGGACATCCATTGGACTTTTAAATCCTAGGACTCTAGAAGGCAAACGATTTATGATATGGGCGGCTGTAAGAACCGCTTCTCCCCAAAAAGATTTAGACACATTTTTTTGAAATAAGAAGGATCTTGTTGAATCGAGGAGATGACCATTTTTCCGTTATGCTGCTCCATTTTGTTGTGGAGTGCTCACACAAGAGGACTCATGTACTATTCCTGCTTTCTGAAAGTATGGAGTTAGGACTTGATTGAAATAGTCCTTAGCATTATCCGACCTAAATCTTTTGATATTGACCCCAAATTGAGTCTTTTTCATAGAACAAAAATTTGAAAGAACAGTGCTGACATCGGATTTCTGTTTAAGCAAAAATATCCAGGTAACTCGAGTAATCATCAATGAACGACACAAATCATTTAGCTCCATTTACATTGGAAATAGTGGAAGGACCCCAAATATCACTGTGAATAAGATCAAAAGGAATGGAACTTCTTTTATTACTGATTGGAAAAGATACACGTTTGTGTTTAGCAAGTTCACACCACAATGAAAATGTTCAACCTCTAGATCCTTAAATAAAGAAGGAAACAAAAGTTTAATAATCCTAAATGATGGATGTCCAAGTCTGCGATGACGAAGCCAGACTTTTTCTTTATTGGATGAAAAAGACTCTGAGACAAGAGAATGAGATGTTATGCCCTTGGTAGTGTTGGATTGACTTGGTGTTTCGAGATAGTAGAGCCCATCCCGTTCTCTAGCATGTCCAATCGTCCTCCCCGAACCTTGTCCTAAAATACACAATAACTATGATTAAAAACCACTTTACAGTGCAAATCTTTAGTGAGCTTTTGGATGGAAACAAGATTTGTGGTTAGCCTAGGGACGTGAAGAACATTTTTTAACAACAGCGACAGGCTTATCTTGACATCACCTATGCCTGCCACAGTAGTTAATGATCCATCGGCTGTGACTATTTTCCTATTACTTGGACACGGGGTATATGAGGAAATTTTTTTTTATGAATGGGTCATATGGTCGATAGCTCCCGAGTCAATAATCCAGGAGCTGGTAAAGGCTATATCCGAGACATTTAATCCAATGGAGAAGGGAAGTTTACCTGAATACGCCAGTGAACAAGTACCTGATGGTTTTTCAAGATTGCCAATAAGTGATCTCACCCTCTCAATTTCTTCTTGGCTGAGACTTCCTATCTCTTGTGATGTCCCTTCATGCGGCTGCACTGCTACAATCTGGGCTTGTCCATTGTTCCTCGGTTGCTCTCCTTTTTGTCCCCACTCGCGGCTTGGTGGTTTTCCATGCAATTTCCAACACCGCTCACGAGTATGACGTGCCTTCTTGCAGTAGGTACACCATAGAGTGTCTTTGTAGTCACGGTTTTGGGTCTTTGGCTGGCTGATCCTCCCATTCTCAACTGCTGGC